AGAGCCTGTCCTAGCACTCATTGGATGAAATGCAGGACAGATCGCCAGATCAACAGATCACAGGATAGATGCTTGTTCTTAATTTCTTTGGACTGTGGAAGGAAAACTGAAGCACCCTGAGGAAACCCACACAGACACGGAGAGAACATGCAAACTCCACACAGAAAGGACCCTGGTGGCCCGCCGGGGAGTTGAACCCGGACCATTCTTGCTGTGATTCGATTCCAGTTTGAGAGAAGGCAAAACCTGAAAAAATGATTGACAGACCAAAGAGTCATTCTGCCTGTAGTGCTATGGTTTCTGACATTGTATAACACTGTTCAGTATCAGTAATAACAACCATCCAGTTCTGGGGAACAAGGCAAGTCTGGCAACAACCATGACAAACTGGGCTAAATGTGGGTGGGAATGTAGATTTATCAGAGTAGCCATAAACTCACTGCCAAGTTTCAAAACCAAATGAACAGCTTGTGATGGCAGAGATCAAAGCAGGGGGTGATGGTGCACTAATCAAAGTTGTATGATGGTCAATGAGCCAACAAGATGGTCAAGGAACTTGGCTGAAAAGTTCCCCTAAAAAATTGGAATCAAGCATGTAGACATAGACTGCCATAAAAATAAACATTACCTTTGGCAAGAGAAAACAGTTAGTTAGTTAACAATAGTGTTTTGCTAGCTAGCTGGTATTGATTGTATTCCAAATGTTAAAAGAGCACAGACCAGAAGAATTTGAGGGTGGGATTTAGGGAGGACGTACCCTTCTCTGCTGTAGATTTCACTGCCAAGTTTATGTTGTACCCAGATGTGTATTCTCATTACAATATCACATCTGGTCCCTTGAGAGTAGCAGCCATCTGGAAGATTGAATTATTAAGCATACCTCTTTCACCAGTCATGTCTTGGCTAATCGAATACATTTTGGGAAAACCTTGCAAAATTTATTTTCACGTTAACCTAATTAATGTGAACCAATTAAGAGTGAACATATATATATGCAGAAGGGGTCTATATGCCAATAGAATAGAATGCTCTGGAGCAGCTGCACATGAGCCTGAGTTCACCATGCCCAATGCCAAGCATCAGCTAGAAGGGTATAACGCCCCCCAGCACTGGGCTGTAGAGCAGTGAAACTGCGTTCCCTGGAGTGATTGAGCTCCATCAAATACCTCTGGAATGAGTTGGAGTGGCATTTGTTGTCCTGAACTAAACATCCAACATCAGTATCTGACCTCACCAATGGTCTTGTAGCTGAATGCAGTCAAATCCTCATAGCAATGTTGCAACATCTAATGTGAAGCCTTCCCAGAGGAGTAGATGCTGTTACTGCAGCAAAGGGGAAGCAAAATCCCCATTAATACACTTCATTTGATAAGAACTGTTGGATAAGCAGGGATCTACAAACGTTTGGGTAGAATGATCTTTAAATTGTAGAATGTTCTCTGATTCCCTGATCCTTATGTGTTTATGACTTATGAGTGAACTTTCTGAGAAATGTCTGATAGCCATTGCTCCCCTCCCTCTGTACATGTCATCAACTGCTGATAGACAGAGTGACATCAACACTAAGCTATGCAATGACATGTCACCAACAGATGCTTCGTGGTAGAAAGAATACACCCACACACAAGCTTTATTTGTCTGGTTAAATTTAACAGCTTACTACATCCCAAACCACAAGAGCTTCACCGGTCATGAGGTCAAAGATCACACTGTGCAAAACAAGTTCAACAGTGGGGAACTCTCCAGGCCTTCAAGGCCTTCAGAGAGAATGATTTCTGTGAAATGAAGAGCTAACATGTCTAGTTTAAGGGTGCCCAATCCTGGTCCTGGAGAGCTATCATCCTGCAGAGTTTAGCTCCAAACCTAATCACAAACACCTGATCCAGTTAATGTGAAGGCCTTCAGCATATTAGAGCGAGGTATGTTGGATCTGCACTCTCCGGGGTGGTAGATCACCAGGACCAGGATTGGGAACCACTGCAGTAGTTAGTTTTTCCTTAATAGCATCATCACGCTTGTTGTATCTAAATTCTGAAAGTATTGTAGTAATTCTCTTGTTTTATTGTTAAGTTTTGGTTAAATAAAATGATTACATTCTTGAGAACCCCAATGGAAAATTGTCCAGTCAGCATTCTTTCTCTGTGGTATCTAGGTAGATACAGTCAAGGGAGCTCTCCCATTGGTTAGGCCTAATGCATCAAATTAACCACTAACATAATTAGGAATTGACAGTGGAATCAAGCAATCATGTTTTGATTTACAAAGGATGGGACTAATTTTGTGAGAAAAATGTCACTCTAGGTCTTCTGAAAGTTCTAGATATGTCAATGAATGCGAGAATGAGTGGTACCCTTACCTGACAGATGTTTAAAATGGCTCCATGCCTACTACAAGATAGTTTATGTTAACATCTGTTGCAATCCTCAAATAAAACGGGGAATAAAACAATCTTCAGTGTTCATGGTTAATCTAGAATGGCCACAAAATGTTCATGTGAATAGCTGTTAGCTTAATGCTAACAAAATACTACAATCCTGCTGTCTGTTTTCAATGCAGTGCTGCCTGGTTTTTGGCCTTGTCCCTTGCATACAGAGATTTCTCTGGATTCTCTGAATCTTTTAATGTTATTATGTACCGTAGATGATGAAGTTCTTTGCTGCAGTATTTGCTCGTGCAGTCTTTCACAGAGTGGTGAACCCCTCCCCATCTTTACTTCTGAAAGATTCAGCCTCTCTGGGATGCTTTTTTATACCCAATCATGTTACTGACCTGTCGCTAATTAACCACCAGGTGTTTTTTTTAAGCATAACACAACTTTACAAGCCTTTTGTTGCCCCCGTCCCAAATTTTTTGGAACGTGTTGCTGGCATCAAACTCAAAATGGGCACATAATTTAAAATAAATAAATAAATAAATATCTTAGTTTCAACATTTGATTTGTTGTCTTTGAAGCATTTTCAATTAAATACAGGATTTAAATGATTTGCACATCATTGCATTTTGTTTTTATTTACATTTTTCACAGCGTCCCAACACTTTTTTTTGGAAATGGGGTTGTACTTTTCTCCTGAAATGTGCCATGTTGCCCAGATTAAACAGTATGTGTGGGTGAGATCCTGGCAACTCAGTTTAATGCCTGATTCAGCCTTGGCCAGCATCTCTTCACCTTTAACCTTGACCAGGTCAGCAGAATGCAGGCGAAAATGAAGCTCTTTAACCATCTGTGGAGCCTAAATTGAGACTGCACTAAAACAAAGCTTTGCCTCATAATGTAATTGGTGCATTTATTTGATGGAGTCTTAGGCCGCAATGCTAAATCATCTCATATCTAAACCAGACCAGCCCAATCCAGTTAGCAATTTACTTCTATTCCAATGGTTCTTCAAGTGTTCTCTAGTTAAGAAAAATTTCTATATAGAAGCATTAACACTCAAACACCCATTTACATGATTAAAGGGTTCTGTGTATCATTAAAGTGTTTTTCAGATTGATGAAGAATGTGTTATATGGTTCTATATATAGAAGCTTTTTGAAAATGGTTCTATATAGCACCCAAAAGTGTTCTTCTATTGCTATGATGTCAAGCTTGTAACAATGGAAGAACCCTTTTGGGTGCTATACAGTACCCTTTTCAAAAAGGTTCTAAATAGAAATATCTATAACACATTCATATACATTTCCATCAATCTGAAGAACCTTTCACAATGCAAAGAAGACTTTCATCATGCAAAGGGTTCTTCGAGTGTTCATGGTTCTATATAGAACCATGGTATTTACTAAAGAACCCTTGGAGAACCATCTTTTTAAGAGTGTTAAACACATGAATCGGGTAATCGACTGGCTGAAGGCCTCTAACGGCTTGATTAAGAATGTTTCCCCTATACCAAGCATGTCAAACTTGGTTCCTTCCAGGCCACAGCTCTGCAGAGATCCATGTTTTCCCTAGTCTACTGCTTCAGTTCATGAAGGCCTTGCTAATTAGGAGTTGAATCAGGTGTGTTTAATAAGGCAGACCACTGAAGTTTGTAGTGCTGTGGCACACCAGGGCTGGAGATTGACACATACTTTATAGAGTGCATGTTTCTCAACATCAAGAACACTAAGAACAAACTTGCATCCTTGGGAAGAATGCACTCGTTAAGTTACCTTGCAAGAACACGTTCTCAATGACACAAGAATAGAGAACACATCTTCAGTGGAACATGTAGGAACATCTATAGTAAAGACGAACTACAGGGACATCTATAGTGATTACAAGGCAAAGTGGTAGAATGAGACAGTGTAAGAAACCCTCTAGTGCTGCAGTCACATGAGCAGTAAGGCTGATCTGAAAAGCATATGCTGGTAATGTTGATAAATCCTCCCTATGTTCTCTGGCAGTGACTGCTGAGAGGAGTCTGGAACAGGCCTGAAAGCTGAACACTAGCCGTGTGCTGACAGAGCCAGGCTGGCTGGCTGCTTGAAAAAACCCAATACTTCCAATTTCAGACAGAAACGCTCCAAGTCAAAGTCTAAAACGCACGATTGTAAAACCAGAAAAAGGAAGAAAGGGAAGAAAAACAGAGAGGAAACCCACCGGAGAGAACAGGATAAATGTAATAACACACGCAAACCATTTCAGCGCTTCACTCTGGATATTTAATCTTTTCATTTTTTTTCCCTCTCAATCTATTATTTAACCACTCCACAAATGTTCTGTTGAATTGTGGTCTCTCTCTCTCTCTCTCTTACTCTCTCTCTCTCTCCCTTTCTCTCTCTGTCTTTGTTTCTCTTTATCTATCTCTCTCCCTCGTCTCTCTTTAACTCTCCCCCCCTTTCTCTCTCTCTCTTTAACTCTTTCTTTCTCTTTATCTCTCTCTCTCCCTCAGTCTCTCTCTCCCTTTGTATCTCTATCTTTATCTCTCTTTCTTTCCCTTTGTCTTTCTCTATTTATCTCCCATCCTGTCTTTCTCTGTGCTCATCTCTTTCTTCCCTTCATCTCTCTCTCTCTCTCTCTCTCTCTCTCTCTCTCTCTCTCTCTCTCTCCAGCTCACAGGGTGCGCAGGTCTCGTGGAGGGATGTAGTCCTTAGAGAGGGTCTTTGGAGTGGACAGTTGTCTCACACGAGCACTTGCTGTGGCCTTCTTTGCTCCTTCGGACACCTGAGAGTCAAAACAATACGAATATATATATATATATATATATATATATATACATATATATATATATATATATATTATATATACAATTACAAACTAGAAAACAACAGGTCATTTTTAGGTTTTTGGAAACAACCGGAAGTTAGAAAATGATAGATAATGTATTGTATTGTCTACTTACAATAATTGTCGCATTATGTGGATATTACTTTTATTAGAACTACATTCTTGATGTTCCACAGCTTTCTCAGTCATTTTTGGATCAGTCTGGACACATCTTACTTTATTTTTACATAACTTCTGTCTAAGTATTCAAACTGGAATTAGAATATATCCAGAAGTCAGTACATTTTGATGGCAGATTACCGGAGAACCAGAAAAAACCTCTTTCTGCATGCCGCCTAATGGCCTCCCGCCAGTGGAACTGAAATTAGCTTGGATATGTTTAATTAATACGATTTCCCAGAAATTCTGTTATCTGATTAAGTAGGACACTGTTGGCTCTCTGTGTATGAAATGTTGTGACTCTGTGTTGAGCTGCATGCAAGCAATGAAGGTTAAAGGGGGGGTGCTGAGAACTCCCTGCTGTAAAAAAAATGGTAACACTTTACTGTAGGGTGCTGTTCATAAGGCTACATGACACCTTAATGTCATGACACTTGTCATGACAACTTACATAGCCCTACATACGTTTTTATAAATGTTTATTCCAAAACGCGTCATTTGCTATAATGGTTAAATTGGCCAATTTTGATCAAAGTCAGCTAAAGTAGCCTTTATGACAGATGATGCCTGTTGTAATAAGCATTTACGAACAGTTATGTAGGGATATGTCAGTTGTCACGACAACCTCATGTAGGTGTCATGTAGCCTAATGAACAGCGCCCTACAGTAAAGTGTTACCAAAAAAATTTATACCGTTCCACAAAGACAGTCGTGCTGGAGAAAAACACAGCACAACTGCAGCTTTTTAAAATTTTTATAAAATTTAAACAACTGCTAAAATAAAAAATAACATTTAAACACAATAAAACACTTTCATAAATGGTGACCTGCTTCTATCAACATCATTTTATAAAAAAAGATTATTTTATACATAGCTCAACTGAGGGACCTCCAAAAACAGGTGGAAATTGCATTTTATGGCTACTGTGAAAAAAGGTTTGATATGACCAGGGACTATAAACTAAAGGTAAAAGGTCAGTTTTGATTTTAGCTTAACTTTAAATATTGGTTAAAAAGTTTTATACATGTATTTGCAACTTAACTTGTTTTATATTACAAGTGTATGAGAAAAAAACAAACACATGCACACAAGCCATCTAGACAGAATTAACTAGGCCTTCACACACACATTCTTACAGGCCTGATGGGGCTCTCCGGCCTGCCATGGTGGTAGAACAGGCTGCTCTTTCGGAGTTTCGGCAAGCACAACTGCTCCAGTCTGGGGGTCGTCCGAGCTGTTTTTGCTGCATACGATACGTGTGTTTCTACTGTCTGGAACACACACAGACACACATCCAACACAGATACACAAAGAGAAGCTCACATAGATTTGGACGCTGCGTTTTAGTGAATCATAGGATTTGTTCAGTTTGTTAGGGTTTTCTAAGTAGTTTGCTGAAGAGGTTTGCTAGGGTTTTTTATTTCATTTCACTTCAAAAATCAAGTATATATTAATTTGGCTTTTGCATACATCAATATACTGCTCCTGATTTAGCAAACAGCAATTAGGGGACCAGTTCTCTTCCTTATAATAGTGTTTTATGTAGTAATGTAATAGTTTTCTATAGTAATGTAATAGTTCTATATAATACATAGTGTTCTGTATAGTGCTACAACAGTTCTACATAGTGCAATAACAGTGTTCTATATAATACTATAATAATGTTTTAAATGGTCCTATAATAGTGTTCTATATAGTGCTATAATAGTGTTCTGTGTTGTGCAATTATAGTGTTCTAGATAGTGCTATAGTAGTGTTCTAAAAAGTACTATGACTGTTCTATATAGTACTACAATAGTGTTCTATATGGTACTATAATAGTGTTTTATATGGTACTACAATAGTGCTCTATGTAGTACAATTCTTAGTGTTCTATATGGTGCAATCATAGTGTTCTAAATTGTGCTATAATAGTGTTCTATATGGTGCAATCATAGTGTTCTATATATTGCTATAATAGCATTCTATTTAGTGTAGAGATGGTGTTCTGTATAGTGCAGCAACATTATTCTATATAGTGCAATCATAGTGTTCTCTGTAGTGCAATCATAGTGTTCTATATAGTGTTATAACACTGATCTATATAGTGCAATCATAGTGTTTACATAGCACTATAATATTGTTCTATGAAGTGCAGTCATAGTGCTCTTTATTGTGCATTGACGGTGTTCTAAATAGTTCTATAATAGTGTTCTATATGGTACAGTGATAGTGATTTATACAGTGCAGTTATAGTCTTTCATATAGTGCTGTAGCAGTGTTATATATAGCACAATCACAGTGTTCTATTTAGTGTTATAATAGTGATTAGTGACTGTTTCTGTTCTAGTGGTGTCTATAGTGCTCCTGATTTGAGGCTAAAATAATAAAGACCTGTTCACATTAATGACAGATGTGGATCCCTTACAAACACCAATGTGAACCATCACCTGAAAGAACTGGAGCTGAGTAGTAAGGCCTGTAATGTGCGCACCGTTATTACAGTGTTCCCTTCAATAGGAGGCTTGTTTTGCCCAAACAGAGGTGGCACCAGGTGGTAGCTCAGGGTAACTACAGTCACACCTGGAACACCTACAGCCACTCCGAGGAATGACAGCCTTTAGCAATGACAGCATTCTGACTAGACAACTTCTGCCTGTTAGCATTGTTTTTGTATGAGCTGACTGGAAACTGTAAGCACAGTATGTCATTAGTCGATCAGCCAAGACATGTTTGATGTCTGAATTTTGTTTCTTTGGTTTTGCATTAGAGCAAATATAACTAAAACGTGATGGAAGTTTATAATTAGAACTGGTAACAACCTATTTTACAGTTCCTTAAGATCTAAATATAACCAGGTAAGTGTAAGTTACACACGCCAAGGTACTGGGGTAACATGATGGCAAGTTCCAAGGCAGGCTAATTAAATTATACTGTAACATCCAACAGGTAAAGTGATTGGGAGCTATTAATAAAGGTCTGTTCACATTAATATAAATAAATAACATATTCTAACTATTAAATTTAGAAATGACGCAGTAAAAACTCATAATTGGATAATTATTTCGAGTTACAAGGTGGTACGTACAAATAAACTCCTACTACATTTCCCAGTAATGTCATGTGTTTAAGCAGGAAAGTCAATCGGAAAAATCTTTAAGTTTCAGGTTGTTTACAGCCATATTCATAAGTTTGGGTGCCCCTAGTCAAATTACACATCCTTTACAGAGAACACACTTCTGCACATTTTAATACACAACTGCTGTTTATTGGCTGAATTTAACATATTGGATGAATGTAAAACAAAGTGTGCCCTGTGCAAAAGTAATGGCACATTTTATGTTTTACGTCCCCCCTCCAATATGTTAAAATCAGCAGATAAATAGAAACTCTGCACTAGAATTAGCTGAAAAATGTCATATAAGTTCCCTGTTGAGAACTTGTTACTTTAACACTAGGGCTTTCAAATGTTTGCATACAACAGTATATGGAATAAAAAAAACAAAAACAAAAACAAACAAACACTTAAAGGTCTTATATAGTATGTACTTGTCTATTACCTGGAAATGAAACTAAATCTAGGCTGTAAAAATAGCAATGATTCTTACTATTGTTTTATTTACTATTGACTTTTTTTCTGATTTTCTTTTACTGCTTAAGCATGTGAAATTTGGGGTGAGTAAGTTTGTTCTTACCATTATTTTACTCCAAATAATTACCCAATTATGAGAATTTATGTCCTTTATCTGCTTTAAAGCTAGAATGTGTTAAGTATATCAGTTTGATTTAATTAAACCGCACTGGCAAACTTTGACTATTAGAGTTGGACCCTCATTTTGGGCCATAAATGTGAAAACTAGATCAAAAAGAAAGAAAAAAACACCTCTAGAACAAAGCGAATTACTGACAGGCCCCCTATGGGATTCAAGTAGTATGTTAGTGCAGTAATATGTTAGCGCTGAGCTAACATCAATTCATATGTCTAGTTATTGGCTTTTCTAGATTAAACATGGGCATTTGAAGACATTTAAAATACATTCCCTGTTATTTGAATCTTGTAACAGATATGTTAACACATATCTAGAACTTCTAGAAGGCCTAGAATGATGTTTTTTTTTCTCACAAAATTGGTCCCACTCACTTGATTGCTTGATTCCACTATGACTTCCTAATTATGTTGGTAGCTGATCTGGCATGTTAGGTCTCCAGTTCAGCTCCTGAAGGCCTACCAAATGGGAGAACTAGCTAGACAGTATCCACCTAGATACCACTAGAGAAAAAATCTGGATTGAATAATTTTCCATTGGGTGTTTTAAGGATTTAACCATTTCGTTTCCAACCAAAGCTTGACAATGAAATATAAATATTACTACAACACTTGCAGAGTTTAAATACAACAAGCATTTTGTATTTTGTTATTCAATTAAATAAAAAATAAAAATAAAACTTATAGACATGCATTTTTTCACAGAAATCACTAGACATTCTCTGAAACCTAGAAGGCCCTAGGTTCCCCACTGTTAGACTGTCTGGTTTACCTGAACAATTAGCTTTGGAGTTCATTCCACTCACTATCCCATTAAATACTCAGAACCCATTAGCCATTTCAGTATTTTAGTTGGACTGCCTTAGAATGTATCATGTTACCCAGAATAATTACAGAGTATGTTGGCGTTTGTACCTCTCATTAACCCAGTTAATACCGAGAGCCTAAATGACTGTAAAAGAATGTGTTCTTCTGTTCTAGAGAAACTTACCGAGTCAGTTCACAGTGGTGGCGACAGGGAAGAGACGTCTGAAGGGTTTAAGGCCTCAAAAATTTCCCTCACAGAAAGTTATTTGGTTATAAATATGCCGCCTGATACCTGGTACATTGTTTTCCAATAGCAATAAACTTTTGCAATAAACAATGAATTTTTGGCCTATAATGTATTTTTAAAACACATGCAGGCGGAGAGATATGTGCAGCGCATTTCAAAGCAAAATAGTAGCCATAAGAAAACTTAGCTTTACCACTATTTTACTATTATCAACATTACATATAAACCTCAGAAGACATCTGGAGGTTCTCTGGTCTTTTGCACAGTAAATAATAAAAATAAAACAACTGTTTACATCTCAACAATTCAATTATGCTGAAATTTTGAAAAAAATATTTGTCTTTAAGTAAGTTTTTAGTGGTTGGTAGGGGTCTGTGAGTCTGACCTGGCGGTTGCCCCTGAAGTCGGTATGTGTAGTTTTGGGGCGGGAAAGTTGGAGGACGCGTGGAGAGATGACAGCATTCTGCCCCACAGGGCTGATGTGCCACACAGGGCAACTGTACTCACACCACACTGTATGAGGAGAGCTGGACACACAAACACAATGGAAAGTTACTGTCAAATCTGAGTGGACATTAGCGGGTAAAAATGGATCAGTAGATTGTAGTGCACTGAAATGAAAGTGGGAATTCAATTGCATTGATTTTGGAGCATCAGAACTGATTATAATAAAACTATGCTTCACCAACATATTCACTCTTTCGCGGCAACTGTCGTTAAGTTGGACAAGCTTTAAAGAACAACGGCAAAAATTCCTTTCAACCTAATGAATTTAGGACAGAGTTTAGATTCACTATGTGGGCTCCCAAGTGGTGAAACTGTCTAAGTGGGAGAGGGCTTGATCCCAGTGATGCCACAGCCATCCGTGTCTGGGAGCCCACAATAGCATATTTTGGAGGGCCCTTCTTCTCCCCATCACTGAGCGCAATGCTAGCCAACTCTGGTGTCTATTAGCTGATATAACATAATTGGCTGTTAGTGTTCTCCTCCAAGCGTGTTGAACTATCCAACGATGCTGTGTTAGTGGCCGGTTTAAATTGCTATTCTACCAAGCTAAACTTCATTGTTGTAACTAGGGCTGCCCAATATGGACATAAAATATGAGGTTTGATAAAGTTCATATATCATAAGAAATAAATTATCAAAATAGTGCATCTTGAACCAGATGTGCCACAAATAGAGACTTTTTTCTTTAGAAATCGAACTAACCTCTAAGAAAATAGCAAAATAATTTACAAAATAACAAAAATTATGAAATAGAAATATTAATAGTTAGTTACATCAATATTGCAAGTATGTTTTAGTGCATTGTAAAACTCAATGGGTAAATTGGGTAAAACTAAGCCATCATTAGCTTAGCCACTACACTACAGCCTCAAACACCATAAAACAGGTTCCATTTTAGCTTTCTGTCACTCCAACACCAGTCAGGCAACTTTTTCTCTCTCAGACATTACTTTGTTATCATCTACACGTGTGTCAGCAGAGCAGTTAGCCAGAATCAAACCTTTACTGTGGTCTATGGCACTGTTTGGGTCTTTAGCATGCTTGCTAAGCTAATGTCAGATCCAAACACCACACAGCAGGTTTAATTTCACCTTCCTGTCTCTTCTGCACAAGTTGCTCAACTTCACTCTCTCAGATTTGAATCATTATCATCTAACCTTGTGTTAACGCTTTAGTTAGCCAGTTCTGTGGTGAGCAGAGCTGTAAACATGCTAGCTAAGATAATGCTAACCAGCTCCTTGTTCTTAGCTTGCAGCACTGTTTAGCATTTATCAGTTGTTCAATTGTTGGATAGATGGTTTGACATTCATTGAAAATTGTATTATGGTTTTGAAATGCTGCAGGACAAGACGGCACAAAAGCGACATGAATGCTTAATTGTAGGGAGCTTTTGTGTGCTTTTTTTTACTCTTATCATGCTAATTTGATCAGTTCTGTTATTGTAGCCGCTGTCAATGTGTTTATTGCAGAAACTCATGCCATGATAATGATAAAAAATATGATTTATTGTGGTCTCGGTCCGCCGACTTGAAAATGTCAGCACCCCGCTGCCTGTATGCCACTGCTGGTCCACCCTCGGACCACCTAGATTACTCTACTGCATACAAGCTCTACATTTTAATCTTTTCAAACAGATTTTAACCCCTTAACCCCCAGGCTTTTTACATACCAAGGTTTATTATTCAGCAACTACAGGGACTTCAATGCAAACTGGCTGATCAGTTTGTAGGTTATAGAAGAGTATAATAAAACTTGGGGCCTGCCAGTGGGCCCTGGTCATTCAAGTGATGAATCACTATAACAATAGTAAAATGATTGTATAGCTATACATAACATGGTAATAAAACTAGCATCAGTCACTGCAGCAAGTCAGGCTGTATTATTAATCTCAAACAGTAAATAGTTTGCTAACCCCTCAAAATTTAACAGTTTTTACATAGTAAGGCTTATTTTTCAGTAACCACAGGAACTTCAATGCAAACTGGTTGAGCTATTCTTAGGTTATAAAAGTGTATAATGAAACATTTGGCCCGCTGGTGGGCGCTGCCAATTTAAGGGGTTAAAAGCACAGAGACTTTTATTTTGAAAAATACACTAAGACATAGACTAAGGCCCTGCGATGGACTGGCGACCTGTCCAGGGTGTATCCTGCCTTCCGCCCAATGACAGCTGGGATAGGCTCCAGCACCCCACCGCGACCCAGAAGGATAAGCGGTTTAGATGATGTATCACTAAGACAAATTTTACAAACAACTGAGAGAAAAAAAATAATGACTAGGCCTAATATAAAATGATTTTATAGAAAATGTTGTTGCTGACACTGCGCTAAATTAAAATTATTTACTAAACTAGTTTACAAAAGAAAGGAACGTAGGACTGTAAGTGGAAAATGAGTGATGATGAATGGAATTTTGTTCTGTCCTGTTGCTATCAGTGTTGTTGTAACTAATCAAAACTAGGCAGGTTGGTAATGAATTTTCCACCATGCTAACATCAGCTTGACATTTCTTCCTGGGTAAACTACACTCTCACTGGACATTCTCTACTAAAAATGTGTTTTGGCTTAACTTGTGTGCAGCAAACTGGCCCTAGGAATTCAACACGATCCACTTTTAGAATGACTAACCTGAAAACACAGCACACTCAAAGGAGCCCTTATTATCTGTTCAATCGTTCTCAGCTGCATCTGGCCTGAAACAAATCTAGAGATCTAGAAATATCTGCCGCCTGCAGCCCATGTGTTTTCAACTAAAAGATATTACATAATGGAAAACCATAGAGCCACAGATCAGAGAAATACCATTCGGCGGCTACTGCAGATGTTCGGCACAGATTACTCGACACATAGCAGCTTACGTGGAGGCCGAAACTGGTTTAGGCGTCAGAATGTTCAAATAATGAAATGTTATATTGTTTAGATTTCTGTATACTGTACATTCATCATGCAGAACATAAAGCAGCTACATATTATTGCATCTTAGATGGTGGATGAAAGTCTGAAAACGCCTCGATTGAAATCCCAAGCAGCATGGTTACTAGTGTTGTACGATGTATTGAAAGCTTGTTCAACAATTCAATTCTTCATATTTTCCAACAATAAAGAACACTGACCAATTAAACAGCTCATTGTTATTATAGTCTGCTTATAGGATAATTAAACCCAGCACATGATGCTATCAAGCTAGTAGGGTGAAGGGAAGCATGTGCTTCATTTGAGACATCAGCCAGCAAAGTCATTGGACAGTGTTATGTTAGCTAACAGATTCTTTTAAAAAAGTCTAAAACCAAAGTCTTTTTGGCCAAAATGATCCGATGGTTCACGATTGTCTGGTGCAGTGTACAACTGCTGCTATACAGAACTTTGATTTACCAGGTCTGGGTTGCACCAGGTTTGTGTAAGTTTATACTTAAGTTTGGACATTAAGTCTTAACACTAGTCACTTTCAAACTATCCTTTTACTAAATTTGGTTGCACCACCAACCTGTAAGTCATGTCTTAACTAGTAACAAGTAACGTATGTCGCTTTAACATGATGATAACATGTTCAGAACCAATCAGTAAACCTGCTGTCATGGAAACGTGATGGCAGTTGGCTCTGACTTTTTCATGGAAAAATATCTGTTATATATATCACTCCTTTTGGAAGAAAACCTTGTATCTCAATTTTTTTCAGTTTTTGGTATAATTTTAAAATGCCTGTTGTCCTTTACATTGTGCGTAAATTTCATGATGAACGGACAAAAAGAAACGGCCCAAAATGACTTGGAAAAAATTCTGGTTCCACTGACTTACATTAAAAGTAAAGCAGGTTTTTCCCTTTTCCTGTAAAGTTGTCATTTTGGAGATACAACTATTGTGCTATTGGCTAGCCAACACAATAGCAGCCTTAGGTTACATGTTTGGGCAGCAGCTGAGTCATGTTTTTGTGTTTCTATCTGGTTTCTGATGGTTTCCCCAAAACTTACACCTGCTTATGGGGAGGTGTAAATATTTAGTAACTACTAAGCTCAACATTAAAACTATTTGTGTGGTGCAACTTGTTTGGAATTAGTGCATAAACCTGAACTTAGGAAACACAACTAGCCTACGTTTAAATTTATGTGCATTTGGTGCAACTGGCCACAGGTCATTTATTTTGAGACCTCAACTTGACCGTAATTGGTCGTAATCAGTGCATCATTTGTTTTGAGACCTCCCCTTGACTGTGATTGGTCCTAATCACTGCATCATTTGTTTTGAAACCTGCCCTTGACTGTGATTGGCCATAATCAATGCATAATTTGTTCTGAGACCTCCCTCTGACTGCGACATGGTTGCCTTTGTCACTGCATAGAGATGACCTATAGCAGTGCTTTGTCAGAAATATGTATGTGAAGAGAACTTACGATCAAATGTTTGGCTGTAGTTTGCTTTTGTTTAGCTCTGACAGTGTAAATGTGTTCAAGCCAATAAACACTAGGTGTTCAGATGATGACAAGTATTTATATCCTTCTCCTACTTCACTGCCTATTCCCATCTAGTAAGTATTCATAATTTTTAGTATCATTTAGTATCATTTTACTGTCAAGCACTGTGATATTACTCTTTGTATGTATATCAAAGTTAAGATGACTGTAATGGTAATATAAGGTTTATGAAACAATGTTCCATGGACTTCTATGGCCATTAATAAGCTACCCAGTGAGTCTGAGTCATACAAAGGGACCTTTTGTCTCAAAACATTCCTCCTTCACTCTTTTTTTGCCTTCTCTCCCTCCATCACTCTCTCTCCCTCTCTCTCGCCTTTATATCCTTCTCCCTCTCTCTTTCTACTGAAATAACAGATGTCAAAATATTGGCTTCCTCCTCTGTAGACTCTAATTTTAGTTGCTGGGGCCAGCTGGGGTTTCTCACGAAAGCTTAAAGCTTGTCTTGCGTTCCTCCATACTCCACCAGCCTGGTGGGATTTCCAATGCGACCTCTTACCTCACTTCCTGGGAGCTCCTGGTACGGGCCTTGGGGGTCGCAAGGCGGACGGCCTGCTCGTATTGTGCCTCGCGAGAGGAAGGGCGGGTGGTCTTCGTCGACCCTCCTTCCTCCTCCCTTTTCCTACAGGAAAGCAAGAGAAAGGATGTTTCAAGCCTGAGACAAAATCTGCCTTTTCAAACTTTAACAACAGGAAGAGCAAGAGTGGGTAAACAGAGGGACAGCGTGTGGAAAAAACACTGTTTACACTGAGGGGGCACATATTTCTTTTAATAAGGTTGATTTGATGGATTCTCTGGGGCAAGAAGTGGTTTTGACAGACCACAGTAAGTGTGAAGGGCCTTGAGCAGCCAAATCCAGTTTCCTCATTAACTCATTAGGGTTTACAGCTGTGTGCATAACCCGCATAACTTGGAGAAGAACCAGTATTCATGGGCTTCTTTAGACAAGCTGTGGCACTGGTGGTGGAAACCAATACCACAGGCTTTAGAGTACAGTCTCTCCTCCAACTTCACCAATAAATATTGCTTTATTGCTCTCAACGAGGTTTAGTTTCCCCTCAATAGCTGATTTTTCCATTCATTAGAAAACGGAGGCATTACAGAACACACATTTAACCATGTTATGTCAAAATATATGCCACAGATTTGGAGAGGACATGTTATTGAATTATATTTCATGCACAGGGGGATTATTTTTCACAATACACTTTCAGAATTGATACAATTTGAGTCAATTTTGAATATTTTAAGCATTAAAAATTTTTGATTTAACAGGGGAAATAGGAAGGCCAGGATCCTCATAAACTGGCTCTGGTTTTATGAGGAGCCTGGCCACTTCTTATTCCTGCCGTTATATCAAAAACAGGACTGCTAAACAGCAGAGGGTGCTCGCGAGTGAGTCCTCAATGAATGGTAGAAAATAGCGCTCAATGGCTAAAAACAAAAAGTTAAAATAGTTTCTAATCATTCCCCCAGAACGTTTCTTTAATTTTAGAAAATTGAAGGATGTATTTCACTAAAAAAGCAAAGAAAACTCACCTGTATATTTCCTTTTTTCTACAGCAAACGGGTTTTGGGCAGCAGAAGGCGGGCTTTACTGCTAGAGCGTGATGATCGATATGGCGAGCGGAGCAGCTCATTGGCTGTTCGCGCTCACAGACGTCATGAACATACATGAGGTGTCGTTTTAAACTCCTATACCTCGAGTTTTAAAGCTCTTAAAAATATAACAGCAGTGTTAAAATGTTTTATGATATTCAGTGTTCATGAAATTATTGCATTATTTTACATTAAAAATGTTTAAGCATTTATAAACTATGATTTTGCTCAAATGCTCCATATCAACCCATTCATTTTGGACTCACTTGGGAGCGCCCTCTAGCATTTGAGAAAACCAGAAGACATTGCAGAGTGGGAATTCTCCTCTCTACAAGTTGATTCAAGCACTGTCCCTGACTCAATAGCTGCCCACAGTGCCCACTAGTGGATATATTAGTGAACAAGTCTATAAAGTGTATAAAGTCTATTACTCAATTAGAGCACGGACATCAATACTCAACATTACATCAACATGTTCTGTGTTCAACATCCATCTACAATCTTAGACAGCAATCAATTTTAATACTGTTATTAATATTAATATTGAAATAATTTCCTAAAAGAAAGTAAACACTTTCCAGTAGTGTTAGTATTACTCCAGTAGAGTATTATCAAAAAGTGAAGACTGTAGTCTTGAGTCGGGAAATTGTTTATACGCCTCCACATTTACATCAGAGGCCACTCTTGAACTGACCACAAAAGCGTCCCATATCAAGTAAGAGGACTCAGTATGGCATCTCTACAAAATGAAGACCTGATGATGAGTTCTAAAAGTCTTTCCTGAGGTCACTGAATTGCTGAGTAGGGACCACACATGACCTCAAAGTCTCAATGTCCGTTTCTTGTAGCGGAAAGACATAAGGGTGGAGTAACTGAGGTGTTTCCTGGTTTGGTCATGGTAAAAAAAGGCTGTGATCTCACAGTCTTGATTAAACTGTGTAGGTAACGCAGGTTTATTGTAGATTCTGGGTTTCTGAGAAGCAGTAACAAGGCAGTAACAAATAAGACTTCCAGGACAAAATGAAAAACAAAACGGTACCTTTAACCCAAAATCTAGACAAACGTTCATTTATTTCGTTTCCAGTTTAAGCAGCCACTAAACTGAGAAGAAACTGCCAAAAGTGACGTTTAAAAAATGCTAAAAGGATAAAGAGGAAATGGGGCTCCTAACAACCACCTGGAAGATCTAGTAGACCACCAAAACTGTCCCAATCGGATAAACAACACTTAAAGCTTTCATCTTTGAGAGAGAGGAGAAAATCAAGCTGCTTCAGATCTGAAAAAATCCACAGGTGTTTCTGTCCATCCTTTCACTGTGAGAAGACGACTCAACACTACAGCCCTTACTGAGAAAAGAAAACAGACACATCAAACAAAGAAGCTGCTGGTGCTCTCAGAACAATGAACTGACCACCCCAGACCACTCCAGACCAGTCCAGGGCTCCACATCATTGAATGTGTTTGGATTACTCGGATAGTGAGAAGCAGAAAATGCAACCAATTTCTAAGACTGAACTTTGGAGGTGTGGAAAAATATCTGCAGATTTCTTTGAAAAACTGAAAGCAGGACTTCTGAAAAGAATGAAAGCTCAAATAAAGGTAAAGGGTGGACACAAACACCAAAAAATGATATTCTATTTAGTTGTTGTGATCTCTGGGTAGTTTTCTGTTAAATATGTTTTCTGCACTGTACATAATAACCTAAATAACATAAGCAATTAGTGATAACTCCTACCTTAGCAGCTCTTGATAGAATGAAGAGAAGTCTTTTTTTTGTCGGGCCAAAGCTTGAATCCTCGGAGTCGGAACAGCTCGTAATGCTGCCAAGGACAGCGGCCATATTGACTCCTGGTTCCCCCAGGTCAGCTTCGTACTGGACACGGACACAAATACACAAATACACACACACACACACACCACATAAGGGGTGCATAACATCACAGGATATTCACTTTTGTATTAATAGTTGCTAAACTGTGTCATCAGCCTAAAGCCAGGAAGTAATGTTGTACTGCCCTCTGTGGATTTTAATGAATTAATTTATTACTTTTAGCAGTTTTAGTTTAGTATCCTAGTAAGTAGTATTTATGAAACAGATGCTGTTCAGTTGTTCTAAAATGCTTGACATACACACATCACCACACATCAATTAAATTCTGTATCAATGCAAGTTAAAAAGAAAAATTATGCTCCACATTTCTGTTGTTTTATGTACCAAAATGGCCATAAATCATTTTTACCAACATTTCTTTATCTCCTAGAATTAAACAGCCTGTTTTTGTTACTGTGCTTTTAAGACTGATATGTGTAAATAAGCTCTGTTCTGATTGGCTGGCATGTATTGTGCTTCATTTAACAAGCTTTAGAGATGAAACACTGCTTATAACTTCAGTGTGAAAGGGTGGGGCTAAACTGCTATAGGCTGAATAGGTGGATATATGTAAAAGAGTGTGACATCACAGAAACACTGCACTTAAATGTTATTAAACATTTGTGTATTGTATCACATTCTAATATAATCGTCATTTTTTAGAAGCTTTGCTTTGTGCCAACACCTCTTAACTATGGAAAAATCACTGTAACGCACAGCGTCTTCAATGCCTTCTGAGAAGGCCTAATGATTTCTGTGAAATAAAACATTACTTTCCTGGAATTTGTTCTTAATTTTATTCAACAGAAACAAACTTGTATTTAAACTCTGCATTGCAGTAGCTTTTACCAATCAGGAATTGTTTTTCTCTGTGGTATCTAGGCACATATAGCTAAGCGAGCTCTCCTATTGGTTAGGACTTCAAGAGCTGAAGGGAAGCCTATTTAAACTCTGCATTGCAGTAGCATTAAAGTACTACTTTTGTTTCATTGTCAAGTTTTCGATGGAAACAAATGTTAAATTTTTTAAACCCTAAGCAGATAATTGGCCAATCAGGAATTGTTTTACTCCGTGGTATCTCGGCACATATAGCTAAGCAACCTCTCTGAATGGTTAGGACTTCAAGAGCTGAAGAGAAGTCCTAACAAGTTAGATTCACTATCAGCATAATCACAAAAAGTCACAGAGGAATCAAACAAGCACATTTTGATTTTTAATTTTGTGAGGAAAAAATGTCACTCTAAGCCTTCTGGAAGTTCTAGATATGTTACTGACTGAGCAGCAGCCTAATCAGCAGGGTTTTAGAAATGGAAACCAGCAGTGGCAGCTCTGTACAAGAGCTCTCTACTGAAAGAGCCATTGTGAAACCGATACAACGTAAAATATATGCTAATATGTCTGTCACAAGCGTCAAATAAAACATGTAACATCTTTTACAAGCTTCAAATGCCTGTAAATAAGTAAGTTTTATTTATAAAGCACTCTTAAAACAACTTGCACTAACCAAAGTGCTGTACACAACACAACAAGTAGGAAATAAAAATATAAAAATAATAAGAAGAGTTACATAAAATAGGGAAGAAAAAAAATGAATAGAAGAGGTAAAAATGAATAAAAAAAAACCAGATGTGGTAGACGGAGTGAGCATACTGCCAACATACAACAGCAATGATGTTTGAAAAGTATGCAGTCTGTCTTTTTTCTCCACTCTTCTACAAGCCTGTCTAATTTCCTGAGTGGCTGCATTTAACCAGGGCTGAACTTTTGGTTTGAAGCATTTAAATCTCATAGGAGCAACAGAACAGTTGAATAGTTACGATGAAAAGAAGTGACTAAATCATCCACATAATGATGAGCCTGACCATGATTGGGCGATTTTAAATGTCTGAAATGGCTGTAGGAAAATCATTAGCCGTGGACGAACTAATATACCTTGACCAATGTCCTAAAACAGGAGCAGGGAAGTGCTCAGTAAATGTTGAGCTAAACACTACTGGCCTATGACCAGAGAAACTAGCCTCTTCAATATCTAATTTGTCAATGTCAAAACCAGTTGAAAGCACCAAATCAAGTGTGTGACCTTGCACCTGGGTGGGCTCATGAATAAAACCAAAAGAATTCAGTAGCTGCATAAAATCATTAACCTGATATTTAATCTAGAACCACCTGTTTTTAAAATTTTCATTCCACCTTAAATGCGTAGGAGTTACATTCTGTTGCATAAATTGGTCAAAATGTAACAACTGCAGCGTAAAGGTAATACAGAAAATTCAAACAAGAAGCTTCAGTCTCGCTAGAAAACGTTCATGCAAACTGTCATCAGCTTAGTGCTAACAAACTACTAGAATCCTTTAGCGATGCTAGCAAAGGTTAGCATTATCATTGAGGTGTTTTATCCTCATGGTTTGACTGTGTTTTAACATTTATGGCCCAAATTGAAGACTTAGCTGTAACGTATTATTGTTATAAAATCACTTTAATGTTGCTGTGGTACATACACTGGGATCAGGGTCGAGTCCCCCAAGTGTCTTTTTTTTTTTAAATCCATTTCATTCACAGAAAAAGTGCAGTGGGTCTAGAGATGCTCTCATTCTCCTAATCACAATTCATTAACTATAAATTCCTTTTCTGTACTTGTATACAAAATAATATGACTGAAGTAGAGAAGGGAGGGGGCCCAAAGTAGAATGTTGTTGAGGACCCCCAGATGTTCAGAAACAACTCTGAAAAGTACGATAATAATAAAAGGAGCTTAAAAAAAGTGGTTCAATTTGTTACAAGTCGATTCAAACAATATTACCCTTACTGGTTTTGCTATCTAAAGACTGAAATCAGAGTTGGACTCCCAGCCTAATACGAACAGAAAAAAGACTTACCCAGGTGTGGTGACCCATATGGCTTTAGATTCCTTGTGCTGAGCAAGCTGCAGAATTCTACAGGTGATCATAAACACATTTATAAATATACATAAACCAATATCCAAACATCAGAAATTCTGCTAAATGTATACAAAGCAATACACATCAAAGTGCAAGTGTTGAGAAATGTTTATGCATGTTACCTCTTCGATGTTCTAAACTCCCCTGACAAAGCAGAGAAATAATGGTAATGAACTCAAAGCAATTTTGCAAAATATATATAGTACAACATGTATATACACATATATATATGATGGAGTTACTACCTGTTATTACCATTGTGTACAGGTGGAGACCCCCCAGGTGGCGGGATCCTAAAGCGGAACTCTGCTTATGTCACAGGTTTCCACGGTAGCTGTTGCCTCAGCAACAAGTGTCACATGACTCCTTTTGGGAACACAGCTAAGCCAGCAGGCCGACCTAACCTTAATCCAATACGTCCATCTAAACACTGCAGAAGGAACCTGATCTTTATGGTCAGAGAAGAACGGTCACAACATCAGAAACTGCATTTTAAATCAGGCTGAACACAGATCACTTACAGAGAAAAGCAGTAATTAGGTGGATAAGATGGCCAAAATGTATCACAATACAGTCTAATTTTCCCAAGTTGGAACTTTTTGAAAAGGAACTGGAAGAAAAATAAAACCAGTAAAACTAAATTATTAAAATAATGGAAGTTACTGCTTGCTGGTTGTTGCTGTTGTTGACAGGCTCTATAAACGATCAGGTCATATAAGTGCTGTCGAAACCTATTAAATACTTATAAAAGTGCACTGTTATGTAATTTAGCCACATGATCACAACTTACTAAGTTGTGAGAATGAGATCCTTACGCATGACAATGACTTCGTAAAGCATAAGAATAAGATAAGGAAATCATGGCAAAAATTAGAGTATAGTGTGAAAACGAAGTAATTAAGTTGTGGCCATGATTTAGTGAGGTGTGGGAATGCGATAATTATGTTGCAACCATGACTTAGTAAGACATTAATTTAGTCATGGCCACATTTAATAAGATGTAGGAACAAGATAATTATCTCATAGACATGGCTTGGCAAAGCATGGGAAAAAGACCTAGCCATGACTTAGTAAAGTGTGTGAACGAGATAATTAAGTTGTAGACACGACTAAATAATTAGTGGGAACAAGAATATTAAGTCATGGCCATGAATTAGTAAGGAATGGGAAAGATATAATTAAGTCATGGCCATGACTAAGTAAGGTGTGGGAACAAGATAATTAAGTCAGGGCCATGATTTAGTGAGGTGTGGGAATGATATAATTAAGTTGCAACCATGACTTAGTACGACATGATAACAAGATAATTTTGTCGTGGCCAGAATTTAGTAAGGTGTGGGAACAAGATAATTAGCTCATAGAAATGGCTTGGCAAAGCACGGGGAAAAGATTATCCATGACTTAGTAAAGTGAGGGAATGAGATAATTAAGCTGTAGACATGACTTAATAATGTGTGGGAACAAGGTGACTGAGTAAGGTGTGGGAACAAGATAATTAAGTTACAACCATTACTTACTAAGACATGAAAACAAGATAATTTAAGTTGTGGCCACAATTTAGTAAGGTTGGGGACCAAGATAATCATCTCATAGACATGGCTCGGCAAAGCATGGGAAAAATATTATTAAGTGATAGCCATGAATTAGTAAGGTGTGGTAACGAGATAATTAAGTTGTAGACATAACGTAATAATTAGTGGCAACAAGAATATTAAGTCATGGCCATGACTTCATAAGGAATGAGAACAATATAATTAAGTCATGGCCATGATTAAGTAAGTTATGGGAATGAGATAATTAAGTCATGGCTACTTAATAATGTGTGGGAACAAGATAATTGAGTCATGATCATGACTTAGTAAGGCATGAGAACGATATAATTAAGTCATGGCCATGACTAAGTAAGATGTGGGAACAACATTATAAGTCATGGCTACTTAATAATGTGTGGGAACAAGATAATTAAGTCATGACCATGACTTAGTAAGGCATGAGAATGATATAATTAAGTTATGGCCATGACTAGGTAAGGCTTGAGAATGAGAGAATTAGGTTGTGGCCACAACTTAGTTAAGCATGGTAGTGAAATAATAAAGTCATGGCCATGACTAATTAAGGGGTTGAAACAAGATAATTGCAGAAAAGAGATAATTCATGTGGGAATGAGATAAGCTGTGGCCATGACTTAGTAAGGTGTAAGAATGAGATAATAAATGTATGGTCATGACATAGTCAGGTGTGCGAATAGGATAATTAAGCCATGGTCATGACTACTTAAGCCTTGGGAATGAGATAATAAAGGTACAGTCATGATTTAGTAAGGTGAAGGAGCAAGATGATAAGTCATGGCCATGATTTGCTTAGGAGTGGAAACGAGATAATTGTGGCCATGACTTAGTAAAACAATGAGATAACGAATTACATAATTAAGTCAATAAGTTATCAGTGAGATAATTAAGATACTAATGAGATAATTAAGTCATGACTAAGTAAGGTAAGAGTATAAGACAATTAAGTTGTGGCCATGATTTAGTGAGGAACAGGAAGACGATATATAAGTCGTAGTAATAAAGAACGGCTTAACTATCACATTCCTTTGCCTTACTAAGTTACTGCCACACGATTTTTATTAACCCTAGCATGGTGTTGGGGTCTGTGGGACCCATTTTCAACCAAAAGAAAATATGATGTGATTTATGATTATTTTAAAATCAGATTTCTTGGCCTTTGCTCATTTTCTGTGAAGAACATAGAAAAAAAAACCTTCTCAGTACCTTCACACTGTAAACCCCTACACATTTATATTACATATGGTGTTCAGGTGAACCTGTGGGGAATAAAAGTGTGGAGGTGCTGTTTCCCTTCACTCTGTCCTCCTCCTACATGGCCTGCTGTTAGTGTGTGTGTGTGTGTGTGTGTGTGTGCGTGAGGGACAACACGGACAGGCTGCTGACTGGCTACAGCTGCTAAAGAACCCTACACTGCACACTTGTGATATTTTAAACACCTGGTATTTTTACATAAATTGTTATGGCTTTATTAATTAATAATGTGGTGGGTCCATCAGACCACTGAGTAACAAAAACATCAACACCACACAAGGGTCAAGAAGGGATGCCACCAGGTGAAAGACTTTGTAGCCTGTTTTGTGGAAACACTTGTTAAATCTGTGTTTGTCTTTTAGAATCATTTAATCATTTGGAACATTGACAGTGTCCCATATAACTGAATTTGGGGTGACAATGCAAGTCATGTTGTACAATCTGTAATATGCATCATCTCCAATTCACTGTGAACTTACATTCGAATGCAAACAGGGGGCGATCTGACCACTTTCCTAACCTGACAGAAATCACTACACTACTACACAGTTTAGATATATAAATTGTTTTTATTGGTAAGCAAAAACTGTAACATCAATAAATCTTACCAAATCTATTGCTTTCAAAAACCAACTGTAAGTAACACCAAATATACAGAACATAGGAAACAAAGTTACAGACATATTCAGAATTCATGTCTTCAGACAAGAATCTATGAACCATTTACCAACTCGCTTCAATCTATCAGTAACGCTAATGTTTAATACAGATCCAGTCTTAACACACAAACTGTTTCTCCAACTGCAGTAGCTTCGCAGAGGAGCATCAGTTTCTTTCCGAACAGAGTAAAATACTAATGCAGACCTTTTTCTCCCACAAAACAAATGCAGTAACACAGTAGTAACTGTGTAGTAACAATTAGTCTTTGGCATCCTTCTGGAAATGCTCAACATTCTTTAAAAGTCTTTTTAAAAAATAAAAAAAAAACATTTTAGACAATATTCTCTACTTAAATACTAGTGCTACAAAAGTTACAGCCCTATAAAACTCCCACCTGTTTAATAAACTCTTTAGAGAAAAACGTAGTTGCTAACAGTAAATGAACAGCCACCAGTGAGCTTTAAAACCATGCTAAATGGAAGGAACTAGTATCCATTGACTGTTAGCCACATTAGCATATTTGGTTGAGCTCCTTTAATGTACCATAAGAAATGTATTTGGTGATGTAAGAGCCCTGATTCATTTAAAGACATTCATGTTGACAAGTAACAGCATTGCCGAGATGCCATCTGGCTGGAATTGCAGCCAATCAGGTGAAGGGACGCTTTTAAGCACGGTTGTTGTTCATCATCTCGATAATGAGCTCTCGAGCGTCCTGCACTCCGGTGTTGGTCTCGGCTCTGCCTTTCCGCACCTGCGTCCCGAGAACACACAGCTTACGTGCGTCACCCACAGAACCCAACGCCAAGGACTCGTACAGATCCGCCACTCCGTGAGCTCCCGGGATGTCCTGAGAGGGAGAGAGGGAGAGAGGGAGAGAGGGAGAGAGGGAAAGAGACACTTTAAAAGGTCATGGCACTAGCAGACAGCAGGAGAGGATTAGTCTAGACACAACCGCACCTGTGACCTCTCACGCAAAATCTTTACCACTGGCATCAACCCACACTCACAGTCGTGAACCCTTACAAGCCCCAGGTATGAACAGCAATAACAAAACCATACACACTTAAAAAGATGGTTCTTCAAGGGTTCTTTAGTAAAGAAAATGGTTCTATATAGAACCATGAACACTGAAAGAACTCTTTGCATGATTAGGGGTTCTTTGCATCATGAAAGCGTTCTTCACACTGACGGATAATATGTTTTATATGGTCCTTTACAGAACTTTTTTGAAAAGGGTTCTACACAGCACCAAAAAGGGTTTTTCTATTGTTACAGACTTGAAATTGTAACACACTACAACAGCACATTCTTCATTAATCTGAAGAACCATTTAATGATGCAAAGAACACAATCATGCAAAAGGTTCTTTGAGTGTTCATGGTTCAACATAGAACCATTTTCTTTACTAAAGAACCCTTGAAGAACCATCATTTTTAGAAGTGTACTGTCATGTTAGATTGTTATTTGACACTCAGAGTTTACTAAAACAAGCAAAGAGATTCTGTGAAAAGTGCAGATTTTACATTTTCAATCAACATAAAATTTCACAGTCAACATAAAATTTGTGCTTGTAGGTAAAAGAGATGTTCTATTATGACTATTATTGTGTTCAGTATTATTTTAAAGACAGAAAAAAGCATCCTTTACCATTTAGCATCCTTTAAATGTTGGAACAAGGGATGCACACAATTCTTTTAGTGTGCAAAACTTTTCGTTGAGCTAAACTGGTTCTTGACCAATGGTGCAGCTGCTTTGTCGCCAACCATGCCAGTTATCTATATTTTTAGCTACAGATTAGTGTACAGCACTACACAGTATACAAAACTATACACTATATTTGGATCATTGCTG